CTTGAAGTCTTAAATTCGCTGAGGTTTGTGTTCTAGGTCTTAAATCATTTTAAACGGTATTATTTTCCAACGTCCATGTAACGCTACCTCTAATGCTCATTGAAATGCCCCCACAGCGCTCAATGTTTCCTCCCGTGGTGGTGTAGTTCTTTCTGGTCCAAATATAATTCGCTGTATTATGATTACAAAGACTAAAAGGCAGCTTTCATGTTTTGCCGCAAGTCTCTTTCGGATTGTACCACAGATATTCAAATGACGAGTGACTTTGAGGGAGAGAGCGGCGGAAAGTGACGGTGAAAGTTAGTGGAGGATAAGATCAGCATTAAGTTGTCAGGTTACAGCTCTGTCCTGTACTTAGGTAAATTAAAGAGGATGGTGTTGACTACGGAGGAGCTGAGGTTAGTAACGTTAAAGCAAATTAGGGATGCAAACTAAAGTTGGTCCTTTTAAGTTAATGTGGAGATTATTCTTTTGGATTTTGATATACAACTGAAATGCTTGTAGTAATACAGAAGGGAGATTCACAGATGTGGTAATAACAATGTTCCACAATTATGTGGAATTAAGTATTTCCAATATTTCTTTATTGGTAAACATAATTTTCTTGGGAGGACCCCCAATCCCCCACACAAATACCATCTTATGTATCTTACATTATTTCTATTTGTAAATGCACCTGCTTTGCACCTGCCTCGACTTCTCTCTACACTCACTCACACCCTTTTACCTCTGGTCTCTCACTGCAAACTACCCATAGGAAAGCAAAATTCAAGATGAGATCTCATAGATGTTTCCTTCTTTTTTCCTAGACACAAATAAGCTGCTATTAATACCAAGATGAGACCAAAGGCCTTTCTCCCACTTCTCAAATTCATCTCAGGAGAAACAACCATATAAAATCTAATTTATGTCTGACTCTGATCAAAACAAGAGATCTCTAGTCTTATTTAAGTCTCCTGAACATTGGACCATGAGTTCAGAGAAAGAGCTCAAAGAAAACTCCTGTGTGACTCCTGGGATCTCATGATTCTTCTCAAATATGTCTCAGTTTTCTCATATTGGCCTCAGGAGCAGAAACTCATCTCTGTCTTACTCTGTTCAAAGATGAGATCTCTACAGTATCTTAAATAAGTGTAATTTCGGTCTCCAGAATGTGGATCAGAAAAAACGCTCCAAGATATTTCTCAGTTTTGTCTTAGTGACCCCACTTAGGGGTTGTTTTACTCAAGTACTTTACTCACGTCAAATGTTGAGGTTGAGTATTTTCTTTTTATGGGGGTTTGTACTTTTACTCCCCTTAATTTCAAATCCTTATTGTATTTATTGTTAATTATCTGTTACAAGTTACTGAGAAAAATAAAATAAATTTTGACATTGAAAATAATTACTAAAACACTTTCAAATGTCATGCTTTCCAATTGGTTAAAGTCACAGCCAGCATAATTGGAACACCCAATACTTTGACATGATGTTTAGAGATTAATTCATTAATGACCGAATGCACGCAAGAACTACAACATGATACAACATGTATCTGTCATCCAGAATAAGCACTTTTACTTTTGAAACTTCAGTACATTCACTATGGAATACTTTTACACCTTTTACCTGAGTAGAATTTTAAGTGGATTATGAATGTGGATATGGTATTTCTCCTCTTTAAAGTAAAGGAAAATTGTACTCTATTTAAAGACAATCAGTCCTTCATTGTTAATTTTAGCTGGATGGCGCAGCGGCAGTGGGGTTCAAATCCAGCTCAGGGCCTCCAGCACGGTTCTCCAAGCACAGACAGTAATGTAATACAATCAAGCTCACAAACATCTGCCCAGAGCTCCCAACTGTTTTTAGGAGCAATAAGCAAGACATTAATGAGCTCAAAAAGATACAATTATGAGATCTCATCTTTTGCTTTCATTTATCCTATTGTAATCTCAATTCAGTATCCATCTGTCTTACCTAAGTCTCAAAACCTCAATCTCTCTTCATCACATCCTTGTCTCCAACAATTCAGATTGGAGTGATCTCAAAAAGATATACTATTGAGATCTTAGTGTTTTCTCAAGAGTTAAAGAAAAGACTATTCTGAGCAAAAGATTTTTCATCTGGGTAGGGGTGTCCCCGACTAAAGATTTACATAGTCCTCCTGGTTTTACACACGGTAGCTCCGCCTTAATCTTGAAGCTGCAGAGCTGCAGTTACTATTCATTCAACTTACACTGTAAATTTCCAGCTAAACTGAGGCTTTTTGAAGACCCCTTTTTCGCTCTCGCTATCTCTCTCTCCCCCCTCTCTTCCGCCACCACACATGCTACGCCTACACATGCGCACTGACGATCCAGGGTTAGGGTTTTAATTTTGGATTTATTTACGCACTCTTAAACATTGAAAGTTTTATTCTTTTTACATGTTTATTTACAGCATTAAACGTTGAAATGTATATTGTAATAGGCTGTATATTAACTTATTGGGAGAAAACTGGCAGTTCTATGTAAAATCAGACCTCCATATCGCCGAAGTGGCATGATCGCTGCGAAGCTTGGACTGACATTCTAATCAGACTCAGCCCTTCGTATCTTCGACTATTGCGGGTCAGCCCTACTGCACACACACCCTGCCTTTTCCCTGCTTCTGTCTCCCTGTCTGCTCCACATCAGCAGTAGTTATGTTTTATAAAGTCACCGAAAAGACACCCTTGAACCCTGATTGTTCCATTACCTCGTCTACCTGACTTAACAATTTGCATAGTGTGGGACTTTATTAGCTATCTTAATTTGCTTATGATTCTGAAAAATTCCACATTTAAATCCACATTTTGATGGCGCATGGGTAAGACTTTAATGTGAGACCCGGGTTCAATCCTCCACTGTGACACATCCACCATTGTGTCCCTGAGCAAGACACTTATCCCCTAGTTGCTCCAGAGGCATGCGACCTCTGACATATAGCAATTGTAAGTCACTTTGGATAAAGCGTCAGCTAAAGGAATAAATGTAAATATTAAGTAGAAGTACTGCTCATGGAATATTATGCATAGTCGCTTTTTCCCACAAAACAAAGTCAAGTGAGTAGTAAAAGGAAATTTTATGTAGCTCAAGAGATTCATATCACTTAACAACAAAAAATCTCATTAAGAATCTGGAAATAGAGAATGTCAATATTATTGCAAAACAGAATGAAAACAAATTGATCAAAATTGTTGGATAATTATTTGATCAAGCAGTTAATTACTTTGTCTGTTCAGCTTTATGCAAGATGTGCCTTATTTTGTGTCTGTTAAATGTAGAAATGACAGATGTTTAAGATTTTGATGCTAATAAAGGGAACTGGAATTGTAGTAATGGAGTTGTATTTGTTTTTTTTGTTTTTTTTTCAGGACTACTATCTGAAAATGGGCATTTTGTTAATTTCAAGTTGACTAGTTGTAATTTTGTTTAGTATTCGAGGGAAATCTAATCAAAAAATGTATTTTGCTAGACTCAGAGTATAAGTTGTGCACAATTACATTTATTGAGTAAAGAACAAGTGGAATTTAATTTTAATAAGCATCACTGAATCAATATATATTTTTTTAAATGTATAATATTTGAACATATTGGAACATGGACCCGTGGAACAAGTGTATGAGGTCACTCCATCCCATGTAAAGCTGTCTGAGCCACTTCTCTCTCCAAAAGGAGTCCTTATGAAAGCCAGCTTACCCGTGAAAATGAACTGTAAAGTGTTAATTTACAGGACCATCAAAGCATTCCTCACACAATATGTTTATCTGATCCCTCATGATCCTGCTCTACAACAGGTTATCTCATATACCTCTCACTATATTAATTCATACTTCAAAACACAATGTTGGCTTGTGTAACCTTTTTTTTTTTCAGTGAAAAAAACGGTGAGTCATCCTGTGGATACAAATGATCCAAAAGCCATACCCAGAGAAGTCCCTCAGAATATGTGACTGTTTCATCTTCACAGCCAATAAGGAAAGTGCAGAAATTTGCCCTGAAGTATGGTTTGAACTGTCTTTCAACTATTAAATCTGAGTGAATTGTGGTCCAGAAATGTATGCATATGCATGCTATTAATATCTAATGTAACAGTTTTTTCAAAGATCATATTGCCAAGAGATGTCATTTGTTAATTATTCATTTGATAGACTTAAAAGGTCTGATCTTGTTATCTTGCTAAACTGGTATCCCTGGGAGATAATGAGGACATTTATTTGGGGAGAAAACAACGTTTAGGAAATGTGCTTTCTTTCAAGGAGTTACAGCTAACTTGGCTGTGTCCAAAAATAACAATCTTCTTACTAGCACCACTAAAACTGACTAAAATGTTGTATCTTGTCAACTGAACTCTGCAAAGAAGTCACCCAGCATTTAACCTCCTGTAAAACCTCAACAGCGTTTTTTAAGGATTAATCATATGGACAATCCTAAGGATTAACCCTTGGACAGAACAAGGCTAGTGGTTTACCAGTATTTGTGCTAAACTAACCACCATCCAATTTACTGGACAGACGTGAGAGTGGAATTGATCTTTAACTTATGGCAAGAAAGCAAATAGATATATTCTCATTAATTGCAGCTTTTGATAAACTAGCCTGTATATTTTTCTTTGGCTCCATGTCTGAGAGTATCAACACATTTTTTTTACCTTATCTGACAAATAACGTAGGAATTATCACATTTTTAAAAACTGACCCAGGCACAAAGTCTAATTCCGCCCCTTATGTATTTCTTTCACAGAAATTAAAGCTCGTACATGATAGCAGTGAACTTTTGTGAAGTGTTCATTAACAATCCTGACAGAAACTTCCAACTCACACTCAGACATGACTCTGGACCAGTGTGAACTTGTGCAATTCAAAAAGGTCAGTGGTTATAGAATAATACTATGATGTTTGTGTGTATGTTTACACTACATATATACCAGCCTTAATTAGCTAAATGCATTAGTGTCTCGTGTGAATGCAATACATAAAACCACAAAATCAACCAAATGTCTAATTTTTATTCAATTTTTTATTTCAGATGACTATCAAAGCACTGGTGAGATTGAGTTGAGGTATGACTTAGTGAGTATGTAATGAGTATTTAGAAGAGCTGCAATTGTTTGAATAAGTCATAAGTAGATCTTTCACTAACCCAGTGATCACCTTGGTATGTTATAAATTCAGTTAAATACACACAAACACCACAAACATTAATACATTGAAATAGTATTCTTCACAGAACCTTGAAAGTGAAAAAGTTGTGTAAAGCCTTTTGTGACCTTTGAGGGAGATGCGGGAATCTGATAATCTGGGGTGGGGGAGCTGGGAGCTTGAGGCTACATTAGTCGCTATTGACATAACACATGAATCTCTGACCTAACTGTCGGCTCTTGAGCTGCATTGTGAGTAATGTATGCGCCAGGTTTTGGAATAAAAAAAGATGTCTCTGGTCCTGCTACATCTACTTTGACTGTCCAATGTGCGTCTTCAGTTTTATCCGTTGAGATTTTTAAATATCTTTTTAAGAGTTGTGCAGTTAACCCTGCACAATGGAGGCGGCTAGAACTTCAATTAGGATGCTCAACTCACTGAAAAATATATTTGCTCATATGGATCTTTTTTAAGCTCATTGTTCATCAAAGAATTGAGTATTTGTTGAGGATAATGTTATTATTCTAGATGATGAGCTTGCCAGTGTTAAAATTGTGGAAACGCTTTCCACAGAAGTTTTCAAACATCTGCTGGATGACCTTTTAGAAGATCGTGTCTTGAATGGCAGGGAGAAAGACGCGATACTTAGGGAGAACAATACCCGTGCAGATATGGCACGCTGCCTCATCGACATGGTGAAGAGGAAAGGAAATGAAGCCAGCAGGAAGATCTTTACTTACCTTCAAAGCAGAGACCCTACACTTTTTGAGTGACCTGAGGTTGCCTTCTGGCATATCTGTTTAGCCAGGTAATGTCTGTCTCAGCAGAGCTGGTCAGTGGTAATGAGGCCTTTATCTTATTTGTCTTTCAGTCCCTGGAAAGTGCCTGAGCTGGAGTGACCTTTATTATCTTTTTTGGTTTGACATCAAATGTTTGTCTAGTGTAGTGCACAGAGAAATATTTTTAAAAAAAAGTAACAGTGTTGTATTTTGCATAAAAGTATAAAATACATGCTTGATTTTTATTTTATTGTTTTGAAGAAGTAGGCTACTCATATCTTTTACTTAAGCAAAAGTGGCAATACCGCGATGTAGAAATACTCTGTTAAAAGTAAACGTTTGGTCAAAAGTACATCCACTAAAAACCAGCTGGACCAATTCTAAAACCTTTTGTAACTATTAGTCATTTAGATATGAAAAAATAGGGCCCAGAATTATCCCTTAATACCAAAGAATAACAGCAGCAGTGGCAAATACAATACTAAATAGTAAAAATGATCAAAATAATTAATATATATATTGACCAGTCTATTTAACTACTAATCACTCTACCACGTCCAAACTCACTGAGAAAGTGCATGTAGAGCAACAGTTTCTGTGACAACAAAATGTGCTTTCTTTGGCACCTCAAAGATGGCACGAGCTATATTTATTTAGTTAAATAAGTGTGTTTAAACCTTTCATCAGTTTTTAGTCTTTAAATGTTGGTGTTGTATATAATTTAGGTCATCACTCTATACAGTTATATTGCTACAAAACTTTTCCTAATAAGGAGTATTACTCACGCTATGAAACAGCATTATAATATCTGTGATTCAGAAGGGAGCTTTGGAACGGCTGAAAAATTAACCCTGGTGATGTCATCAGGGTTGTTTTGGCCTTGAAACTACGTTTAAAACAGAAAGCATGCGTGACAAACTCAAGGTGTGTATTTTGAAAGACGTGGGCGTTTACCAGGACTGGAGATCCTAATGAAAGACACTATTAAACTGCATTGTGGGAAATGTACGCTCAAGTGTTTGACCCACACTAGGAACTAAAAGTCAAGATATCACGATATCTTGACCATTCTTAAATCTGTCTGTCGGTGCAACAGATGAGTAACTTGCTACTGAGTGGTTATGCAAAGTAACTTAAAAGTTAACATTATCAGGCTAATACACAATGATCATCTTGAAATGGTCTCCAAGGTAACAACAGTATGTGCTTGTCTACCAAAAAGTGAGGAATCCAAACTGGCTCTTAAGTGCCTCCCCAAAAGCCCACAGTCCAACATGGCTGCAAATATGTGATGGTAGTTCTTATTAAACAAGGCATAGAGGAAGGGGTTCAGAGAAGAGTTAGCATATCCAAGCCACATGGAGGCCTCCAGGACCAGAGGGCTGGTGCTGTAGCCCTTCAGAGGATGGACCACATTCACACAGAAGAAAGGAAGCCAACAGATTAGGAAGACCCCCATGATCAGCCCCAGTGTCTTAACAGCCTTCCGTTCCTTCTTCAGAGAATATCTTTCCACAGGAGACTGGTCTCGTCTAGTGGAAGCAGTCCTCGTGGGGCTCTGGTTCATCTGAAGGTGCCCAGAATGGTGATCGATTGCATGGATCCACCTCGCTTGTCTCTGGGCGGCCTTGAAGATTTTCCCGTAGGCAAACAGCATGAAACCCATGGGAATGAAGAAGGAGACAGCCGAGGTTGCAAAAGCATAGGGGACATGAAACGTGGCCAGACACATTTGAGTATCCTGCTGTGTGCTGCTGCCTACCACATCAAAAGGCGGCTGAGTGTACATGCCGAGAGAGACGCAAAGGGAGGAGATGACCACAGGCAGAATCCAGCAAAGCAGCAGCAGCATGGCCACACGTCTGGGAGACATTCGGGCAGGGTAGTGCAGCGGGTCGCACACTGCTATGTATCGGTCCAGTGCCACACAGCTGAGATTAAAAATGGAGGATGTACAGAGAGTGACGTCCAGCAAGAAGTGTGCTCGGCAGAAGTGGCGCCCGAAATGCCAGCTGCTGATGGAACGCACCAGACTGAAAGGCATCACCAGCACAGCAACCAGTAAGTCCGCCACTGCCAGGGAAACCACAAAGGCGTTGGTGGGCGTCCGGAGATGTTGGAAGCGTGCCACTGCAGCCATGATGAAAAGATTTCCCATGATGGCAAAGATGGGGATGGGTAGGAGCAGGCACAGCACACAGACATTAACAGTGGTGGCATGAAATAAAGCAGAATCGCTGCTGTCAGAAGTCAGGCTGACGTTGCCTGAGGTGTTAGTCCCTGGCATGGAAATCATGATGAAGGAAGAACCAAGCCATCGGCCGCTCAAGTGGATACCTTTCCCTTCAGAGTGATCATGTCTTGCTGGTTAATCTAAACCCTTCTCTGCTCCTTCACCATATGTAGCTGCATGTCCTGTGATGTGTACCAGTCCGTCTGTTTGTGTGTGTTTGCATATGTCCGGTATTGATCCATTGCCATAACAAAGCCCATCAGGAGTAAATGATTAACTGATGTGTACTGGGAGTCAGTGGGCCATGAGGTAAGTGAACAGGTAGGTATATACAGTTGAATGTCTCTTGGCTGAGTCGTGATCAAAGGTCTGTGTCTGTAGAAGCAATAAACCCTTGTATAATCTCTTCTCACTGGAAATGTTCCTCTAAATAACACCTAATGTTTGCTCTTTACCGCAAACACTCACACCTGCGCCCCTCTCTGAACCCGGGACACATCCCCACTCAAAACAAATGACACCCATTGCTGGTCTTTTATCATCAGATTGACTTTAACATCTCTGACGATTATATTATAATGGTGTTAAAAGTGTTCTTTTCAAATCCAGAATGTATACAGGATACACAAAGAGAGGGTTTGCCTCTAAGCAGCATTTCAGCAACATTCTATGTTTATTCATATATCGATCACATTTCTAATATTGATATTCAGAACTTTTTGAACATCAAACATACAAACAAGATATCTGATGATTGTGCGCACAACAAATTTCCACAACATACCATGAAGATATCAAGTGACTGCAACAGAAAGGTGATCATTTGTCTTATCACACATTTTACACAAGTCAAGTTCTTTGTCATGTTCAGTCTTTTTACAGGGCAGAGATGGACTGAAGTGAAGGTTGGGTAAGACTGTTTTCTGAAAATGTGTCCTTTTCCCAACGAATGTGTTTTTAATTTAATCAAAATGCATGCACTGGTGTCTTCAGTCCTGAAGAGGGTGGCCAACAGTAATTTTGTCTCTTTGCTGTCCATTGAAAGAAATCTTCCTGTCGATGTCAACCACAGATACAGTAACATACAAAATAGAGAATGAATCAGCAGCATAGTCAATACACAGTTTCCTTACATTCACCACTAATGACAATGACAGTCCTCTGACCGATGAATGATCATGGGACCATGTACAGTGAAAGCAGCAAACCTGTGAAATGTGACTTTAATCCCTATAAGGAATGAACAAGTCACATCTCAGTAAGATTCAGCAGTCACACCTTGTCATCAGGTACAATGCTGTCTTTGCTGATCCCTCGCTTGTCTCGATTCTTCCCAAAGGAGAAAGACAAAATGCTGCTGGTTGTCTCTTCAGCTGGTTTCCCTCCCATTATCTCCCCTCTCAGAGCTACTTGCTCGCAGTCTACGGGGCTACCAGGCAGCAAGTTGGGTATGGAGGGAGTTGGGGTGGTGGCCCCCCAGATGTATAATGTTTCTCCTTCAGGGCAAGGTGGGAGACACTTGCTCAGGTAACTTGGGCTCGGACTGGCTGAGGAGGGCAGAGTACGCTGGCTGCCGTTCAAGCAGCTGGAATTGTGGTCAGCTGAGCCTTTGCGTGAGTGTCCAGAGGAGCTGAAGTTGGAGGAACGGTAATTGTACGCCCTCCAGCCGGGTCGTTTACGCTGGTGACACTGGCATCTTAGGATGCGAATGAAGGCCAGCTTGAACTCACGGTTGTAGCAAGGGTAGATGATGGGGTTCAGGCAGCTGTTGAAGTATCCCAGCCAGAAGATCACTTTGAAGAGGACATCAGGTGGACGCAAGTTCACATTAAACGACCCTAGCAACAGTAGAACAGAGAGAGAAAATTAAGTCAAAGGAATTCATGAGGGCAGGAATTACACTAAAATCTAAGTTGCCAGCCTGCTGTGATGCAATCAGTGTAACTTATATTGAAAACACTGATAGTTGAAATGATAATGATGAAAAAACTGTATTTAATATGGTTTGGTTACATCATGACTGATATCTGGGCAGTATCAAAGCATCCTTGCTTGTAGTACATGAGTGTTTGTCTCTCTTTTGGCTTTGTTGATCCTCTCTGTGACAGCAGGTTATATTTTGCCCAGTAGGTGGCAGCAGTGTTTAAGAATAACATAGGAGTCAGACTGCTTACATACAGGATGTGAAGCAGAAGAGCAAAAGACCAGAGAGGGCAACCAATCCTTTGGTTATTTATCATTAAAGAAATACCAGCTGCTCTGTCACAGTTCATCTGGAGGACGTTTGTGTGAATACAGAAAAAAATAATCAGTGACCCTGATTTTCCTTTTAGATAAATGCAATGGGGGCTTCGCGCAAAGGGGCATTTTAGTTGAAATGAAATGGCACCTTCTCTGTGAGAGGTTATGGAGGAAATTTTTTGCTATTGCAGATGTCTCAAGTAGCGTTGTTTGTGCAAAATATAAGTACATGTACACAGCTGAAGCTCCACAATTACAGACCATCCTGATGACAAATATACAAAGGATTCTGAAGCAGGTTTGTCGTGTATGCTAATGAGTGAGTTTGGGCCTTGTTAAACTGCATTAATCCACCCTTCTGGTGCTTTTTTTTCCTGTGGCCAAGCTTAAATATAGGAAGAATATCTTACAAGCTAATGAGGTGAGAGGGGTAACAGGGAATTCACAGCAAGTGTGAGATTAATAAAGAAAGAAAGACATTTGTGTGTGTAGGTAGATGTGCTACCCCCACATTCTTAAATTGATATAATTCCTGGAGAGACTGAGGATGCACTATAATCTCAGGCTTTGAAGTGTGAAATTACCTCTGGTAAGTTATTACAGGCAGACAGCGTGCTTTTTCATGAATATCAGATCAACAGCTTTAACAATTTTTTAAAACCGGTACAAGATACATTATATAGTACACAGCCACGGGGTGAAATGTATTAATGCCTGCATAATGATAACAGCCTGAAGGGAGCTTTGTCCACAATGAGTTATAAATGATCCACAACATTGCTTTGGTTTGAGACCACAAAAACCTGTGCACATACCTGCAACTCTGCAAACTTGAAGTCACAGAAGGTCTATGTTTCCATTCAAAATTCAGAGAAAACACACACAGACACACACACACACACATGCCCCAGTCAATTTGTTATCCTGAAGGAAAGTGATTGTGCGACAATATGAGGAAATGTCACTTCCAGCTTTCATTTAACTGAGTGGCTCCTAAATGACAGCACTACAAGCTGTGTGTGTGTTAAAACTAGAGAAGGCTATCTCACTTTGTCTTCTTGGCCTCCTGTACTGTAGATAAATGGTTCCCTTTTCATAGTGGCTGGTATTTTCACATGCTATTTTTGCTTCTTGACATCCACTTAAGTGTGATTGCATAACCCTGGGAGTTATGCCTGTGATTGGGATACAGAGTGCGATGGAGGGGAATTAATACTTGGCAATGTCTCTCCCTGTCTCTTCCTCTCATTCCATCTCCCTTCATCTGTCTCTCTTTAATTGACTTTCAAATATTGATATTTGCCTGCATCACAAGTCTTATTCTTGTGTAGCAGAACACAAACATAGAAAACCCCAAAGAAAGAAACAAGCTGAGCTAAGTGTTTGTAAGGCTCTCGCCATCAAATGCTTTTGATAACTGACTAATATGATATTGAGCCAATCAGTAAATTTTACTGTATGTTGATTGACCGATTAATCAACAAACGCTAGATGACGGTATAACTAGAATAATAAATTGAAATGTAATTCTCTTGAGTAGAAACCAGCATATCCAGTCTCTTTGTTAAATCATTAATAAATAATTTTCTCCTTTGTGCTAGAACTGCGACTACGTATTTTTTCCATTGTCCATTTATCAGACAATTATTTTCTTCAATAATTGACACTACGCCCGGTACAAGAGCTTTGCAGTTTTTTCAGCTTTTTTCCATGTGATGACAAATTTTAAAGTTATCTGTTTCTTTTCTTTTTTTCCTTTTACATAACAGAAATATGGACATGTATGTTTGGGTTGAATGGGCATTTTCAGTGGCAGAACTGTAGCATCGGCAATAGGAAATGGTTTACTTAATAGTTGAGATGCTGGAGACACAATACTGTGTAGTAACTTCAAATCTGCATTTCATTTATAAACCTCTCAGATGAGCTATATGTATTTATAGTGTCATCTGCAAGGGCAAACACAACTGTGCAGCTCTGCCTGGCTCCAAGGTAGGGTCCCTTAAGCATCTACAGGCCCTTGCAGAGGAGAAATATGGTTGACATTAGACCTTCCTGTACCCAGATATGGTACATGTTTGTGTTAAGTTTTGTGTGAACGTGGTCC